ACGTCGTCCTAGGTCCTCCATCCAGTTCGTTCCCCTTCCTTCTCCGCTGTCTTCCTCCATGTTTTCTTGGGTCTACCCCTTCTTTCGGCCTCTTCTGGCGTCCATGGTTTGATCGAGCAGATAAATTTAAACCGCGTCTCATTTTACGCCTTGCAATCATTACAAAAACTACTCTATCCCAAGGTAATGCTAAGCTGGCAGTTGTGTTCTCCACTTAAATTTACATAAATATGACATTTTTTAAAAACAGTTCCCTGGTTCTCTATGTTCTCCAAAAACTTTTTTTATAGTAATTATTAAAACCTGGGAACTTCGTCTATTTAATAGTGGAGCTCCGGCGGCCCGAAGGGCCGCCAAGCCTAGCCCCATACTCATATAGGAAAGAAAAGGAAATCCATGAGTTGATTTTCTCATGGTTATCATGGTTAGCGATATTGCTCGTGGGCGCGTACGCACGACGGCGACGACGACGGCGACGACGATGACGGAGTCGCGCAAGATGGCGGCCATACTCCAAATAATAGGTTGACTTAGACACGCAGCCTCGGTTTACCGTGTACTTCTTTGATACTGGACATTCAAGTTACGATCAATTGACACCTGTCAAAACAAGGTATCTGCTGACCAGTAATACGTAACCATATCGCGGGCTCAAGTTTACGGCTCATCGAGGTCTCGTGTTTGTTTTAAAGTTGACCGCTGTCCAAGTGCTGGTTTTCGATAGGATCGCGGGCTCATCTCAGGTTAACTTGTTGAAAACAGGGCAGGATTGTTCGGAAGTCGGTTAACGCTAACCCAGGATTAAAAGTTAACCGAATTATAACTTTTTCTTCTATACAAATGTTTTTTGCTGCTTCGTTTTGTGTATATAGTGATTATTATAACTCAAAACAGAAGTTCAAACAATATGCAGAAAACCTCAACGCAGAGTTACCAAACTCAAATCAAAATTTTACCTTTTCCTTGGTTAGCTTAATTTGGCTCTGAACAACCCGGCTCAGGAGCTACTCTTTTAGGCTGGCCTTAATCTATATATTATATCAACAGGTTATTGGAGATAAGGCAGGCGCCTACACAGCGAGGGCGATGCACAAATATGGCGCTTTCGACGCTGTTCACCTTTTAGAGAAAACTGCGGAAGCTAAGGTGAAGTTTATTCATGTTGTTAGAAATCCATTTGACAACATTGCGACAATGGTCCTGCAGCGGCTAAGAGCTAGACGAGAAAAAGACCGCAGTGTAAAGGTATAATAAATGAAGAAATAGATATACTCGCTATGCACGCGAGATAATGGAACATAGCACGGATCATCTTAAGTTCCGATCTTAAATTACAATAGTTGCCTAGGAAACCACATCAACCCCATACCTTAGCTAGTTTCCATGCGGGTGCTCCATCCTGGTCGAATTGGAATTTGAAGAGTGTTGGTTTTTATGGAAAGAGGAATAAAAAAAAATAATAATAATTACAAAACCTAAGAATGGTCTATTTACAAATTTCATAAAATAATAAACATTATAAAAGATAAAAGTATTTAAAACCTAATTAATTACTGCACAGACTGCAGCTCCGGCATCCTTATACAGTAGAATTTCCAGATTGATTTTACGTATGTTTGCTTTTAAAATGCTAAGAAAGCTAGTTGTCCTTAATCTGCCGGGGAGCCTGTTGCATAAGTTTATATCTAGGTGTCTAAGTGAGTTTTTGCCAAAAGTTACAATAATTGTGCAAAACAAAGCCAGAATTGCATAAATTGTAATTAGGAGTTCGGTTTTTAAATAAGCAGCTGATTCTCTTGGGGCATGAATTGTTCTTACTTTTTCATATTAAAATAGATATATCCAGAAGTCTTCTGTTAAGCTAAGTCGAGTGGGTAGGCTATTACGTTCCAATAACTGTGGATATAGCTTGATTGTTGCCCTCTTGCAACTTTTCCAGCTTTCTAGTGTCACCGGCTTTACCAAAATGCCAGGCTAAATGGCAGTTCGTTAGACAGGGAAGAATGGCTGACTTATATAGATATATAGTGGTAGCTTTGCCTTATCAAGGATGAAATTTCTTAGCCTCTTTATTACGCCAATCCCCTGACTGGCTTTCACACAAATGCTACGAATACGATATGACAGGTGAAGGCTACTGTCTCTAGTCACACCCAAAATTTTTAGACAATCAGATTTCTCAATGGCACTACTCTTTACAGCAATATTGTATTGGCCATTAACATGATTTGCAGCTTTGTTACAAATGTTCGTAATCTGGTAGTTTCTTAGATTACCTTCAAGGAGATGCGAGTGCTATAGTAGCACTCTCCTGAAGTTAGGAGACTAAGGTGGGCAAATTTGCCCCTTGTTCATAAATTTACATTAATTGGTGATTTTACTAATAAACTGTAAGCACGAAAATTAATGCTGTGTACTGTTTGCCATTTATTTGAGGAAATATTGAAGTGAAAGTTTATTCTTCAACTGCGCTTTTAGTATCAAATTAATACAGCGCAAATGAATGGCTTGAAACTGTTACCACAAATTTATGTTTACACTGCATTTCTCGTTCTCCCAAACATCAGTTCCTGTTTGTTTATCTCTGTCAAAACACGAATAGATGTGTGTTCACTTTTCGGAAAAAAAAAGAAAAAGAAAAAAAGAAAAAAAAAAACTTGAAGATAACAAACAAGCAAACAAAAACAGACTTGTGCCATCTTGTACCGTTGCATAATCAATTTACGCTTCACAGATCCTTGGGAAGTGTAGAAACACGTTAAGAAGGCATGGGGGTGGCCATGGAGTCTAGGACTGCTATCCAACTATTACTATTTCGTTTTCAGGGTACGATTGTTCACGCATGCGTATTCTGGGATGACTGAGCCTGCGATATAACATCATCTTTACTTACAAATATTTATGCTTATAAATGTCCCGTCTGCTACATATTGAAAATGTTAGTCCAAAATTTTCAAATTAATTTGCCTCTTGCATTTCATAGAAAGTTCCCTTATTCCTGGCTGTCCTTGTTTCTTGTCAGTTTTTCTCACGTTATTAACATTATGTTAATAAAGTTTCCTTTGATTGGAAAGCATTACAGAAAAAAAACCTGAATTCAAGGGGAAACATCACCTTTACTGTAAAGTTGCTCAGAGTTCAAACTGTATGATTTTTTGTTTATTCAGGCAATACTTCAAGGAATGATACTCAGAAGCAAACACCAATCAATGAACAACTACATAATCATAAAACATATCTTGAAAAAAGTTCACAACAATTAGGTTTATTAAACCTAATCAATCAACGAACGACTACATAACGATAAAAAGATAACTTGAGAACAACTTAATACAATCAGTATTTTCAATTAACTTTTGTTTACAATCAACGACTATATAATGATAACAAGAAGCTTAAAAGCTACATTAGCTTGATTAAACCTATTTGCACAATCGACGGCCACTGAAGATAAGCTGATATCCGTTTACAGCTATGTTTGAAGAAGAATATCATGCACATGAGAGACGGTGTTTTTTTAAACTTAGGGAGGAGAGATCAAAATACGATGCATAGCGGAGTATTTTTGATGGATTTCGAGGTGCTTGGAAATGTGGTAAAACATTATCTATTCCCAATTGAAAATAAAACTGTAAGGAAAACCGTATACATAATAATAACCTTGAAAATCTACGCTAATTAGATAAGATATGAAGACACCTTCAGGGTCACGATTTCCTTCCTTTAAAGTTGAGGAATTATAATGCATTCGAGAACTAATTGCCTTAAACTTCAGAGCTGAGTTAGCAGCTGAGAATAAGCGTTAGGGTTTATAACATAGTGTTTTGAATTCGACATCTTAACTCTGGTATCAAAACAAATTAGTGAGTTCATTTTTTGGGTTCTAAAACGTTAGGTACCTATTTCGCAATTAATTCATACATAAAAATCTTTTTGATTATTTTCCTAACAATTTTATAGCAGTATCTTTCAACAGTTGCGGCCCTTGTGCCACGTGGCACGAACTGTCAGTCAGTAAGTCTGTTTCAACAGTGGAACATCAAAATCAAAATGTTGGACAGAAAACGACGACACTGCAGTTTTAAAAGCCACATAATCTGTTAATCCGTGCTTCCCAAGATTGCTGAACGATTGAACATTTAATTTACTTGTCCATCAATAGTCCAGTTTCGAATTAGCCCAGACCGCTGAATAAAAAGACTTACGACTCATCTGTATGGTGCTGGCCTGTACAGATATTTCGATTATAGTTCAGTGGTCTTGGTTAACTTGAAACTGTACTATTCAGTCAGATTCATCTTCCATCTTTGTGTACTTCCGAGAAGTTACAAATCCTTTCACAGTCCAAGCAAACGGGCATCCCTGGATGTACCGTCCGTTTATAATGATCTCAACTGTGTAGGTTCCTATCTCTTCTGGGAAAAAACTGAAGAAAAATCTTCCCTTTTTGGCCACGATGTCAAATGAATGAAGATTCATCGAGAGTGGTGACATAATTCTTACCTGACCACAATTTTTGAGTATCGATGGAGCGAAGTCAAGAGAATTCATACTTCTTTTTGGGGTTTCTGAAAAAAATTCTCTATGATCGGTTATAGAGACTTTTTCTTTGGCGATAACGAAAAAACAAACTTTGTTTACATACGTCTCATTTAGTTGACCAAAGTTTCCTCCGCACATGCTGAGTTTGTATTCTTCATGGTGTTCACTGATGTGCGCCAAATTGTTAACAGTCTCATTATTGAGGGGTGCATTGAGTACAAGAGTATAGGAAATTGTATCACGTGGTTTTACTTCCGCTAAGGCTGTGGCTTGATTTAGCTGCTTAGACAATTGACTTTTGGCTGTTAAAACGGCTACTTCATTTCCTCCAGCAAGTGCTTCCTCGATGAACTCCACGCTGCTCTTCAAACAACCAAGAGACAGGAATAGAGAATCCTTGTGGGTCTGAAAAATCTTTTCCTGATTTAAAAGTGGTTTTTGTAGTTCATTTTTCAAATGTTCCCCTCGGACCTTCAGAATTTCAATCTGTGCGTTTATGAAACTGTCGATGCACTGTTGAACTTTTCGTGAGTTTTCTTCTAGTTTGCCTTCTTGTACATCGACTGACTCTACAGTCGATTCCAAAGCAGAAATTTTTGCTCTCGACTCTTGCACAAGTTTTAAAGTTTTATCTTTCTCGGCAACAAATAAATCTTTTATAAATGAGTACCTGTGGCCATGATGATCAAAAATGGTGCAATCACGGCATATAGGCTCTTCGCAGGTTTGGCAGAAGAGTTTCAGCGTCTCTCCATCATGCTTTGTACAGGTCGCTTCCGTCTTGCGAGGTTCGTTGTCATCGTGTAGTGACAAAAGATTATTTATCAGGAAGTTTGAGGGAAGACTATTGATGTCACCACCAGGAACCTGGCGAGAAAGATCGACATAATTATGTTCTAGCAAGTTGTTTATGCAAAGACAGTGAAAAATTGGTGAGGAATTGTTTCCTCTATAATGTTGCTTGACTGAACTGTAGCATCTCTCGTAACTTTATTTATCGTCGGAGTGTAGCAACTGTTATTGTTTTGGGGCTAGGGGAATCTGTCTGTTATTTTCTCTATTGTTCTTTCAATGAATATCAAGCCATTCTTGTGAGACCTTGCGAGAACAGCTACCAGACCCTAAATTGTACAACGACATAACCTTTCAGACTCACCTTAGAACTCTTTCTGCATTCAGGGCACGTGACCTCGTAATCCTCTCGTCCCAGTCCTCTCACAAGTCTGTCGAGGCACTTTCTACAGTACGAGTGCTGGCACGAGAGCACTTTAGGTTCCGTGAATTTTTCCAAGCAAATGGGACACTCAAGGTGTTTTGCCAATTTTTTCTCGATCGGAGATGCCATCTCACTTCTGGAAGTAGAAGATAGAAAAAAAATTACTAACACAGTTATCATTTTAACTGAACACGGTGGTAAAAGCGTTTTCATGCAATAAAAGTTATTGAGATGTGGACGAACTATTCCAATTTAAACAAAACAAGCAGGGAATATAACTACAAAAGGGAATTGCAGTAAAGAAACGGAAGTTCACTGGGTTCAAGAGTGCACCGGCATACGAAATGTCGGTTTATCTTAGCTTTCCGCGTTCCTCTGTCTTTGCTTCAGGCATCGATATTTAGCCAAACTCCTCCGACGCCTCGCAATTGCTCTACTAGAAGAGCGGACTTTTCTCTGGAAACTCTTGCGCTTGCAAACTCGCGTTAATCAATTATGGCATTAATTGANCTCCTCCGACGCCTCGCAATTGCTCTACTAGAAGAGCGGACTTTTCTCTGGAAACTCTTGCGCTTGCAAACTCGCGTTAATCAATTATGGCATTAATTGAACAGAATTCTGTCCTGTCTGACAAGCCACTATAATTATATTCAGTTCACCATACTATTGATCTATGCACTCCTCCTCATTCAAAATGGACAACTTCGACATGTAACGCTCTTTCGGGAGCAACCCTTAAACACGGGATCCGGAAACCGGAATCCGGAACAGGAAACCAGAATCCGGAATCCCGATATTGTGAATGACGATAGATTGAAATAATTCACTTCAGCAATGTCCAATAAATAAATAAAGGGAAAAATTGTTTTGTTTTTTTTTTGCTTTGCTTTACTCCAATCACAAATTGTAATTGTTAAAAAATTCTTGACTAGTTCTGAACATCCCTTAGCTATACATCTGGCGCGGTTGTTCAAAAGCTGGACGACGCTATCCATTGTGTAAATCACTATCCAGTCACAGTTAGTGACTTTTCAGGCGGATATAGTTACCCATAGCCTGCGAGCAGGCTCTTGTGTCTGTCTCTAGTGTCTGATCAGGCTCTAGTGTCTAGTGTCTAGTGTCTCTTTGCATTGGTATGTGAGCGAGTGCCCCCAGCCCAAACACGAGTGCCTGCTCGCAGGCACGCAGGCTAAGTTACCCTCTTTTGTTCAACTGGGGCCTGGTGAGAGCGCGGTTCTTGTCTAGATCAAATTGCTCTGAGAAGACTAGTGAGTAGCACAATAGCAACAAGCTAATGCGGTGAGTTTCTGGTAGTCTTTTAGCATCTTTTAACAATCCGTTCGCAAGCGAGAAGCAGACGGAAGTAAGTGTGCAACATTTCTATAAATTGTTTTGATACGATGGCCGGCAAGAATATGTAGTGGTGATTTGTAACAGAATCAGAGTGGAAATATAGTGTTGATCTGAAATTAGTCTCGTATCTGTTGGGAAAAACAAATTTATTCAGACGAGCCAGGTTAGCCTTCGGACATCGAAAGTAGGGGGTTGAGGGTGGGGGAGGGTTACCGTCAATTTACAGGAGGCTGCCACTGACGGAGACCCTGTTCTTTATGACATTTTCTACTTTGTTCAGTATCTACTAAACATAAAGGCGAAATTTATACCTCCGGTTCCCGTAGAATGCAGATCACCTATTAAACAAAATGGCAATTACCAGCAAGCTTATTTTAGACGCTCTCAGG